GGGGGGAAGCTCTTTTGTCTCTGTAATTACTCTTATATGACACCCTTATCAAATGAAAATGGCACAGGCCACTGGGATCGCACGCTTCGTGGTGCAACTGGAGTTCAGTAAAACCTTGCACGTGAATGGAGTCCAAGGTTTCAAGGCAAAAGGGGAGCAGTGGGAGCGTTCAGGCTGACGCAGAAAGAGCAAACCCATGAGTCACTTCATGAAGGGGTAGCAAAGTCCCCAGCCGAAGCGCTGGTGCCAAGTGGGACACCCAGCAGCTCCGGCCATTAGCTGGGCAAAACCCAGCTGACCACAGCTCCTGCTGCCGTCACGGCGTGGGAACAGCCAACACAGACAGAGGGGTCCATGGCATTTCCTCTGAGGCACGAGGTCACCTCCAAGGCCCTGACCAGGGACGGTGCCTTACCCTGCAGAGTCACTATTGCCACCCAGCACACTCCTCGCTCGGGCTCACTCGGTTCCCCTCCCCTCCTCCTACTTCCCAAACCCACCACTTTTCAGAGATAGGTGTGACAGCTGTCAGAGCCAGCACCGGCAACACAAAACGTGCCTGCGGTCACCCTAAAAAGTCACCGCACCGCATCCACGACCCCAGAGGTGCCCGCTCCTCCCGAGCAGGGCTCACGGCACTCCCTGCCCCACTCCAGCCCCAGGAGAACCAACTCTGCTGCATTGCTTTTCAGTCGCAGCTATCGAGTCCGACCCTGTATTTAGCAGAGAAGATCAGTATTTCCAGAGCCAGAACGAGAGGTATGAAGCAGCAGTCAGAAAGGCTGTTCACCTGCAGAAAAAGATGCACAAGATGGGATGGACCGAGGACGGACCTGAAAATAAGTACATTTACAGGTGAATTTTTTTTTATTAAATATAGAATTAATTTTGTCTTAGAAGTTTTGTACGCCAACAAGGATCAGCTTTAGAAAAGGCTGGGAGAGGCCAACAGTTGACAGACGAGGTTTTGGTACAAACGCGCTGCAGGTTTTTACTTTAGCAGCACGCTCAGGAAGAGGGAAGATGATGATACACAGCAGGGAACTTCTCAAAGAGCAGCACATGGGTACAGCGTGATAGATCACAGCAGTTCACATCCCCAACATGACATTTCCACTCCAGCAAGCTCCTTACCTGTACTACAGCTCTCACACCACCCCTCAGACGTTTTTAAATGTGTAACCAGAATTGGAAGTCATGCTGTTTCAGTTATGTTACTGACTTCCAGATAAATTAAGAATGACATTTTCTCTATCTAGAAAACCCACGTTTTATTAAAAAAAAAGGAAAGAAAAAAAAAAAAAACCCCTTAGTTCTTAGGTAAATGGAATAAATTATTTTTCACAATCCTTTCCTTAAAAAAAATGTTCTTAACACTTTGCACAGGGTTGAGCTCCACATTTTAATCTTAATTGCTTGCCCCTCCTCACTCCCCCTTTGCTAAATAGAAGTACCAGTTTGCTGTTGCCCAGTGCACACGGTTAGCTGGGGGGGGGTTACATACCCAGTAAGCAGGTGCAAGTTCACAAGCGCCATTCAAAAGGGCAATGCCTGCACCTTACAAATCACCGCTGACACTCAAAGTCATTTTCCAATATTTCATCATATGAAAGATTATAATTTTTTGTACTAAGCTCTTTGCCGCCTACAGCGAGAGCAACTGATAAAGGTGGAAATCTTCCATCAAGAGCTCTTGGACCTGATCATTATACGCCCAATAAAAAGCAGCTCTCAAACCCCGACCGCCTCTCCCACCTAGGTTTGCTTTTCTCAGGCCCCCTGATGCCAAGGGCTCGGCAGAGCCAGCCGCGTGCTGCCGCGTGCTGCTGGGTTAGGAGCAGGTGAGTCCCAGGCCCCTGCTGAGGAAGCCCCGGTGCCAGACACGGTGAATCACTCGCACACAGTTAACAGCCAGCTTATTAAAATCACAGTTACAGCAACATTATTTCTGGATGGGCTGCCAAGGGTTCATTTAGTCTTTCTCTGTTAATCAAAGCAATTTCCCTTTAACTTCTTTGCTCATATTTTCCCCCTGCGTTTTCAGCGTGGCTGATTCTCTCTCAGGGCCACTATCAAAGAAAGGTCGCAGCCATTTGTTAAACATAAAAGGTATCTGTCTGGAATGAGATGCTCACTAGAGCACTGCAGTAAAGCAACGCGCTGACAGCCACACAAAGCTACCAAGAACAGCATGGCCACTTATTTTTAGGTGTGAGAGCACACGTACTTCTATCCGTGAGGAGATTCAACCATATTCTGAGGAATCCCAGGAAGAGGGACTATATTCCTCATATTTTCTTCGGGTTTCTTGCACACACACAAAAATGAAACCAAATGAGTTTCTCATTTGCGTGATGGAAATTACTGTATCCAAGTTCCCATACATGGCTGCTGGAATAGTGCTTTTTAGGCTGGCGATGGCAAAGGACTTGACCAGACAATAAGCCAGGTATTACAAGGATATATTTGAACCTTTCCACAAGAAAAAAATATCACAAGCCAGGCCAAGTCTCCACGAACCCCAGTATTGTTTGCTGACAGTGACTGACAGCAAACACCCAGGGAATATAGCAACAAACCCAGCGCTCCAAGGTGTTTCCCCAGAATGGGATTGGGAAGGTTCAAGAAATCCAGGTCTTGGGCGCCTATATATGTAATTCTGTCAAACGTGCCCCACAGTGAATTGCCAGGATCTGGGGGTTTTAGGGTAAGGTGGTAAGGGTTTTTTCACTCAGCCTTACAATGTGACTTGAATAATCAGGAACAAAAAATCCTGTGAAGTAAAATAAAGATACAAAGGGCTTACAGGCTACCAGAGCCACAGGATCTTCAGAGCTGGGCTGTGTTTTTAGGAGCTCAGCATCTGCTACTCAGAACAGATAATCCCTCCAAGAGCAAGTGAAATAATGAGCTAGCAACACTTCAACTGTGTTATGAAAGCAGGAACAAAAGCAGCTTGGAAGAGCGCTTATCCTGCAATACTGTGTTGACACTAGATGTCGGATAAGGTGTGACAATGCAGAAATCAAAAAGCAGCAGGTCTGGTGACCGCCACAGTGTCACTGCCTCATCCATCGCATCTCTGGAACTTCATCCGTGTAAAAATACCCCTTGTGCCTTCTCCGCAGAGCCCTGTCCGGAGACGTCGCCTTTCTCCTTCACCGTGTCTTCATGAGAAGCATTTCGATGCTGGGCTCCGACAAACAGATTGGCAAATGGATTCCTCTTGCCACCCACTATCAGCTCATTGGAAGCTACGCTCAGACCGAGCTGGGGCACGGTAAGGCTGCAAGAAAAACGCAGCGTTTCCACGGGACAAAAGGCTCTGGCCCAGCTTCTCAGGGGAATTTGAGCTCGAGATGTCCTTGCTTCACTGGGGCAGGGGTGGCTGCAGGGGAAGAAGCCACCTGCGTGTTAGAGGTTGATATCCTCAGCGTTCCTCCACAAGCTGGAGGTGCGCTGGCGTTGGTTTTGCCAATGTGGAAAAATAACAAGAGCGAGGGTGAAAGCCCACGGTCACACAGCAGGCAGTCCCCATGGGTGGAAGGGATCGGCCAGGCAGCTTGCCCAAGTCGATGGCTGTCACCATGACCCAGGCAGCTTGCCTGAGTATTACGTGCCTCGAGATCTTTGCAGCAGATGGTGTGGGGTCACTGGGAGCATCATCCAACAGTTTTTGTCAGGAAGGTAAACCACAAAACCCCAGTAACACCCACTGCAGCCTCCAGGGATCCTCCACTCGGCCAGGCAGCTTGCCCAAGTCGATGGCTGTCACCATGACCCAGGCAGCTTGCCTGAGTATTACGTGCCTCGAGATCTTTGCAGCAGATGGTGTGGGGTCACTGGGAGCATCATCCAACAGTTTTTGTCAGGAAGGTAAACCACAAAACCCCAGTAACACCCACTGCAGCCTCCAGGGATCCTCCACTCTCTCCACTCTTGTGATGCACCAGGAGACAGATTTTTTTTTTTTTTTTTTTTTTTTTTTTTTTTTTAAAGAACTCATTTTTCTGGTTTCGAAAAAAA